ACTCAGCCTGTACTTGTGCTCGGGATTGCCCTAACCTATGTGCAGGACCTCACACTTGGTCTTGTGAACTTCATGAGGTTCTCACAGGCCCACCTCTCCAGCCTGTCAAGGTCCCTCTGGATGGTATCCCTTCCCTCCAGCATGTTCACACCACCACACAACTTGGTGTCATCTGCAAACTTGCTGAGGGTGCACTTGATCCCACTGTCCATGTCACCAACAAAGATGTTAAATAGCACTGGCCCCAGTACTGACCCCTGAGGAACACCAGTCGTCAGTGGCCTCCACTTGGACATTGAACCATTGACCACAACTCTTTGCGTGCGACCATCCAGCCAATTCCTTATCCACTTGGTGGTCCATTCATCAAAACCATGTCTTTCCAGTTTAGAGACAAGGATTTTGTGTGGGACAGTATCAAATGCTTTGGATAAATCCAGATAGATGATGTCAGTTGCTCTTCCCCTATCCATCAATGCTGTAGCCTCATCATAGAAGGCACCAAATTAGTCAGGCAGGATTTGCCCTTAGTGAAGCCATGTTGGCTGTCACCAATCACCTCCTTATTTTCCATGTGCCTTAGCACAGTCGCCAGGAGGATCTGCTCCATGATCTTGCCAGGCACAGAGGTGAGACTGACTGGCCTGTAGTTCCCTAGGTCTTCTTTTTTTCCCTTTTTAAAGATGGGGGCTATGTTTCCCCTTTTCCAGTCAGTGGGAACTTCACCAGACTGCCACGACTTCTGAAACATGATGGATAGTGGCTTAGCAACTTCATCTGCCATTTCCCTCAGGACCCACAGATGCACCTCATCAGGTCCCATGGACTTGTCCACCTTCAGGTTCTTTAGATGGTCTCAAACCTGATCTTCTCCTACAGTGGGCGGTTCTTCATCTAATGTCTACATCTTGAGGGAGATGGAGGAGAGCAAGAGAGATTCTTATACCATAGGTTATCTAAAATATGAGAGCTATTTAAAAATGTATTTAGAATAGACCTTGCTACACATCAAGTCCTGCTACCTTTGAAACCTTTAACGAGATTTCCTGCCATTTCAGCTGTAAGGAGTGGAAACTCTTGAAAACTGAGATCTCTCCATTCCCATGCAAGTTCCAAAATGAGAGCTGTATTTCCCCATCCAGTGCGACATTAAAGGACTTGCAGGAATGGATTAAAAGGCCTTTTAATTTTTCCTCAAAAAAATGCTCTTGCATTGATGGCACTTGGTATTTCTGAAGTAGAAGTATGTCCTTATTTGAAGTTAGTGAAACACAAAATACATTCTTTGGTAATCACAGTAACACATGGAATCATTATTCATTCACTGCACATGCTTGAAGGCCATATTCTCAAGAAGTAACTTTTAATCTTAGGCGACTTAAACTACACATTTCAAAGTAAACCATAGCATTCTAAGATTCCTTGGGAAATCAGGCAGACCTAATGTCCAAGCAAATATAGAAATGTATCTGCAAAGAATCCTGGCCTTTAAAGAACTGTTGTTTATTTAGTAAAAAAAAACCCAAACCTATTCTACCCTCTTCCTTCCTATTGTGTTTGAACAGGAAAGTTGGAGATTTAAAAAGTGAAGTGTGCAAACCTCACTTACCTGACAACATCAACAGCCCCAGCTCGGACTTTGGGGTCACTTCCCATAATTGAAACACTTGCTGCAAATGAACCGTCAATGCTGAAAACGACACATTCCATTCCTCGGGGAAGCACAGTCAGGTAACTTGCAGCACTGCTCTGGTCCCCTCTGGAGAGTCAAAACAATAAATACTTTTTAAAAGCAAAATGTCAGAATGTATTTTCTGCATATGCTAGTTAAGACCTGAAATTAGAGCTGTGTGGATCTACAGCTTAAAAAATTGTCAAATAGGGCTTCTGATTTCAGTCCCATGTAGGACAATTAAAACTTACGCTTCTAGGAAATAGCTTTCCAAGAGAAATTTGGAAGCTGACTTTAATAAGCAATCTCATGTGTATAGATAACTAAAATAATTAGAAAAAAAAAAAACAAAACAACCTGAAGTACTCAAACTACTGCTCAAACTTGCTTTCTGTCCATGTATGTCTATGTAGGTACACATAGAAGACATAAATACTATATATATGCACACACACACACACACATACATACACATAGCACACAGAAATCAGCTACTTTTTTTTTCCCCAGCAGTCTATGGTTACTGTTAAATTATTAGAAATTACAATTTTCTCATGGAAAGGCATGTGAAATGCAATCTTCTCCTCATGACGAATTTTCCCCAAGAGGTCTGGACATTAATACACTAATAAAGCACAAAGCAATCCAAAGCTCTTACCATCCCATGACCTCATGTTCTCTAAAAAAATGTAATCTGAAGATCACATCTTCTTTCCTTTAGAAAGATGATTATTGACGATCTAGAAATTTATATCTGGTGACGAAGATTCTTACAATATGTGTGCACAGCTTAATGAGCAAAGACAGGACAATTTCTTTCATTGCTGTTTGAAACTTACCCCTGCAGTTTAAAAGCCCATGACAGCTTCGCTGCTGAATACACCTTAATTCATTTTTAAGTAACTCTTTTCTTGAATTGACTGTCTGCTCTATTACACTGAGGTGAAACATTTCTCCCCCCTCAATCAGCACTACGTAAGATTGTAAACTGACTTTGGACTTGATTAACTGGTGGGTAACAACATATTGTTTCAGCTAAATTCATCCCACTGATTTAGCTTCCAAAGCAGGGATTCAAAGGAAGTTGTAAAGCTACTTCATAAGTGGCTAGACAATATAATTCTAAGTGAAATATTAAACTAAAACACTGTATTAACTCAAACTGGACTTTTATTAAACATAAGATTTTTCAAAAGCACAGCTACTCCAGTCCCGCACCGAGGCCAACAAATTTTATTTCACACATCATCGTTCTTCATACTTTACTTAGCATAGAGATTCTTAAAAAATGCTGGAGAGCTAAGAGAGCTGACAAATTTTACTTCAATGAATTGTTATTTTCAAGTGCTAGTTGTTTTTTTTTTCTTTTTCCCAATTTAGAATAAGCATGGTCTTGAGCACAGAATTAAGGTAACTTTTGATCAGCCTGACGTCAACAGATAGAGAGGTGCCTGAGAGCAAGGCAGTACATCCTTTTCTGTTAATTTCTGTAAGAAAAGCTTCTTATCAGTCTGCAGAACATAAAGCTATACCCTTCAGCAATCTTTTCCCAAATCAATGGGCTGCAAAATATTTCAAGTCACGCAATCTTGCCACAAGAAGACATTACAGTCATTCAGTCCCCATATTTTGCAAGACCAAGTGCTCCTAAATTGAATTGCAGTGAGGATTTGTGTTGCAGTGGGGACACCCCCATTGGCCTGGGCACCTCCAAACTGGCCATAAACAGATGACTGCTGCTTCAGATCTAAGCTGACAACACAGTGACACGACCGAGAAAGATAACTAACTGACCAAAATCCCCCATCACACCGTCTTCAGTCTCACACACCTCAGTGTCTTCCTGATCACAACAACCCATCACAGCTGCAGTTCCAGCTCGGAGCTATTACCTGACCACCATTTTGATGGGATACACACCAACTCTCAGTCTCTTCTGTTTGGGTATGTTGTAGGATATCCGGCCGCTGCTGTTGGATATCTCTGTGTCGAAGTACACCCACCTACCTGAAGACGGCTCAGTCATTACGAAGATATCAACCTACAAAACCAACAAAACAGTCACCTAGTGTGACAGTAGGCAACACATCCCCTGTTTACAAGGCCTGCTGAGCCCAGATCACATTAGTATCGCCAACTATGGCTTGTACTAAAAGCTTACAAAGAAGTTTGAAGGGAGCTTCAGAAGTCAGTAAAAACGTCACAGAGGGTACTCTCAATTAGAAAATGCTTGCTAACACACAACACAAGAATTTATTGCCTTCATTATTTAAAGCACTCAGCACTGCAGGTGTCAAACGAGGGTATAGAGCTCAGAAATTTGGCAGGAATCCTAAACTAGAAAAAGACCGTTTCAGCTTGCACGTGTATATTACACTTTTGCATACTAAACCTACAAAATGGAAACTTTCATCTGGTTATTAGCAAAACGAAATCTTTCTCAAATCATAACTTGCCTATAAATGTAAAACCTAAACACTTCAAATTATCAAGACATTTTTTCAAAAGGTTTAATCAATATGGTTTTCTTCAACTGAAACATTTCATCAAAATTAAATACTTGTAGTATATAAGTGTATGAAATACTTTGTCTGACTTGAACTGGCACTATTTAGCAATAAGTACATCAGTTAACCTGAGGGAGGCATCTGCCAAGGTCTCCTTCTGTACTTAATTTTTGCAGAACTTAGGCATACAAGGTTTATGTGGACTTCTTCAGTGCTCAACATGCAGCCAGATACTCTACAAGATTCGCCAGCAGCTTATGAGGTGCTGTTTGCAGGGCTGTCCTTGATAACTCTGCAGATATGCTCTTCTTGGTATAACCATGTTATATGACATTGAGATGTAACTATAAATAACACTAAATTTATTCTGAAGTGATGAAATTCAGAACTGAATTTCTCTAAGGGATGAGCTTTGGTGCAAGGGAAGAAATTACAAGTATCGCTGAACCAGAAGTGTTATCAGGATCAAACAATGGGTTTACTCCTTTCTTCTGCTTTTTTTACTGCAAAGTGAATTCGCAGTTTGAATACAGATATGTACCATCTGCCTCTTTAAAGTCTTGGATGGTATAAGTAGAACAAAGCTTCACTTTGTACCCAAAGTGATTCTGAATTTCCAACTTTCAAATGCACTGTTAACGGAGAGAGAGCCAAGGAAAACATTTTTATGACTTGCTAGGGAAAAATCTAACTTCCTTCCAACCTGGAAAGGAATGTAAGACCTAACCAGGAACAGAAATATCTTCTTTCGAGAATCATACTTCTAACTTTATTTAGCCATTCTGTTCTTACCTTCTATTCCTTCTCCCTTTAACAAATTTTCTCAACACAAGCCATTAAAGATGAGGGCCGGCTGTGTGTGTGTACGTGTGGTTCACAAAAATAGTTTTTCAGTTGCGTTGGGCATTCTGAAAAGTTTGCACAACTACAGTCCTTTCAGATCAACATTTTCTTTTTTTTCAATATCAATGTGAAAGCTACTAGAACAGCATTCTGCTGACTGGCCATTGAACTGTTCTGGCTCAGTTTTCCATCTCCACATTAAGAGATTAAGAAATATAGCCTTTTATGTAAAGTTACTTGAGATCCTTGGAGGGACAACGTGCAAGTGTAAGAAAAAAATACAGACAGTATTTCTGTCAGTTTTGAAACCACTCAAAATTAGAATGAAAACTACCAGTAATTCATCATTGAGCATGGAATTCTCCCCAGTGCAATAATTAGTAATAATCAACATTTTTACTTAGCAATTTCTTTCAAGAAATTTTAATGACATGATTCTATTCAATACCCAAGCATAATATGAATCTGTTTTCCCACTGCAAAAACACAGCTTATTGTTCATCTCTATCCTTCTGAAATGAGAACACCATTTCAAGGCAACTAGCCAGCACACAATAATCTATGTGGGGAGGAAAAACATCAAGATTATAATGCTCAGATAATAATGGGTCAAGTAAATCCCAGAGAGACACCTCTGGCCTCAGTAAAAGCACTGAAACTCAACCTAGTTTGAATTCGAACACTAAAATGCTGAATATGATGTCCTTTTTACCAACCCAAATTCATCTCAGTAAAGGACGTAGAGTTACAGCAAATCTAGTCTACAAACCTGTAGAAACTCCAACAGGCCCATTTTAGGAACTCTTGGGAAAACAAGGGTAGCCTCCAGGATTGATCCTTGCCTCAATAAAAACTGGCACGTCAAGCCCACCTTGGGTTAATTAATGTTTTCGAATAGGACAACAGACTGAGGCTGAGATCAGCCACGCAGCCAGTCCCATGGCAGCATGAGAGGATACGACTGGCAGAGACTCTCAGAGAAGCTTAAGCTCCTGGCTCCTTGTCTTGACCAGATGGCCTCATTCCCATTATCACTACTCTGTTGTGCCTCAACAGGAGCCACCCAAAGCAGATGAGGGTCAAGGAAATTTTCGTGCCTGCTGAGGACAGCATCGTGATGTGACAGAGCAGATCAGGCTCACCTGTCAGACACGAACTAACTCTTCAAGGTCTGCTCAAGTCTGCAGGCTACACTGCTATTTGACATAAGTCCTTCTCCTGCTCTAACTCCCACTAGGAAAAAGTGAGAGAAGGATGGCCTTTGCTTTGACAGATTCAATGGTCTTGTGGTAAAAACGGTTTCTTCCAATTTCTGCACTGTACCAGTTCCAAGAGTGCCCAATTTGATGCATTGCTAGGATGTGATTTGCCAACCACTATAAAATTCTTTTTCTTTCTTGCTCAAAAAGTTAATTGTCTCCAGTAGATGGTACAATCACATGGCAGGTTCAAAAATCACTGCACGGCACACCCATCACTACCCAGAGGAGATGGCCAGCATCATGTAAGAGCTGGGAAAAAGGTCAGCTACCAGGAAAGCCCACGTACAGCATATTTTTGCTGAAGCGGTGGCGGCCAGGGACACACTTCCCCTCAGTGTAAGGCATTCTCTGGTACTATACATGTGTGCTACATTCAACAACTGAATGCTGTTCAGAAAAATAAGCAAATTAGTTACTCAGACTTTACCTTTTCACCTGTTAAAGCTACCATGTCCAGAGGCCCATACATAAAGCGCCCAATTAGTACCTGAGGACCATCTTCTGCTGCGATGACATCATTAGCTCGGTGATTAGCAGTCACATTCTGAAATAAGAGCAGAAGGTGGGAAGGGCAGCATTTGCTTTTGTAATGAAGCTACTGTGTCTATTATGTTATTATGAACAGTGACACAGAAACAGTCCTGGATGTCGGGTCTGAGGTTCATCACAGTGCACCTTAGAGCATCCAGCAAACCTGCATTCCTATTTCAGGTGGATCCAGGTTTCCAGATATGGCGGGTTCCTGAACAGACTTTCTAGTGAGAGTGCTCAAGGTAACCAAATAAGAGAGAACATTTAAGGCAACATCAATTATCTTTCACTTCAAGTGGTGCCATAGATTCACACAATTATGTGCAAGACACACACACATCTTAATTGACATCTCTAACTGAAGTGGCATCTGAAGAATGCAGAAAACACTTTTTTCCTGAGTTACGGATTCATCTAGCACGTAACCGTATCCTGGGCTGCATCAAAAGGAGCATGGCCAGCAGGTCGAGGGAGGGGATTCTGCCCCTCTACTCTGCTCTTGTGAGACCCCACCTGGAATACTGTGTTCAGCTTTGGAGTCCCCAACACAAGAAGGACATGGAGCTGCTGGAACGTGTCCAGAGGAGGCCACGAAGATGACCCGAGGGCTGGAACACCTCTGCTATGGAGACAGGCTAAGAGAGTTGGGGCTGTTCAGCCTGGAGAAGAGAAGGCGCCTGGGTGACCTTATTGCAGCCTTCCAGTACTTAAAGGGGGCCTACAGGAAAGCTGGAGAGGGACTTTTTACAAGGGCGTGTAGTGATAGGACAAGGGTTAATGGCTTTAAATTGAAAGAGGGTAGATTTAGATTAGATATATGGGAGAAATTTTTCACTGTGAGGGTGGAGAGGTACTGAAACAAGTTGCCCAGAGAAGTTGTAGATGCCCCATCCCTGGAAGTGTTCCAGGCCAGGTTGGATGAGGCTTTGGGCAACCTGGTGTAGTGGAGGGTTTCCCTGCCCATGGCAGGGGGGTTGGAACTAGATGATCTTTGAGGTCCCTTCCAACCCAAACCATTCTATGATTCTGTAAGAAAACTGAACAACCTCTTTGCTTAACTGAAACTTAAGGCCCCTTAAGTTTCAGTTAAACTTGAATAACTTAAGTTATTTAAAGAAAGAAATATACTTTCTCTCAACAAAGAATAAATTGTTCCTACTCTCTAACTGTTAATTTGTTTGCCTCTGGACTGCGTTAACAATTTTCAGCTCTTGAGTAATATTTAATTATGTAAACTTATAGTTTGAGAGATCAAACTCCATTTAAATTGCTGCTAAACCCAATTTCTATAGGTGTCATATATATTCAGATTTATACTTACTCTCAATTTGACATGTGTCCTTTTGCGTAGCCATTTTTCTCGTGGATTGGATGGACTTAGTGTTGCTGGATCCAGGTTTTCATTTTCCTTGAAATTTACGTTTTCATACCTCATCACCTGAAATTATATTAATATTCTAATAAACAGTGTGTGGCCTGGGGAGTCCTGGTACTTGGCAAAGAAAGGGAAAGCATGCTGCTGCGCCAGCTGAATGACACTGCAGAGCTAAAAGCACAATGAAAGTAGAAAGAACCACAGGCCATATGTTCACATTAATTGTACAGACAAGTAAACTGCTTTCACTCTGTTGGCCGACACGTAAGTCTCAAGTACTTACTGAACAGCTTTTCCATTCACAACAGCGCTTGCACATTCTTCCACAGAAAATGGTGAAAACATTAGGATGGTATCAAGTGACAATCATATTGTTTGCTCATGGTCTGCAAAGTCAGAAAGCAGCTTAAAATGACAGAAGTATGTTTTAATGTCCTTTAGACAGAGGTCAGATTCCTGACTCCATCTGTAATGACTTTTTTATACATATATCCAGATAGAACAGTTCTTAGTGATGCAAGGATGCACTAGACTTTGTTTCCTTTAAGATAATGAGGGATAGCGGAGGAGCCTTAAAATATTTGTCAAGAGGAGGACACGTGTCCTTGTAAGTCCAAAACATCTGGCAAGTGTTAATGCCTCTGCTAGCCATTAATCACCAAACAAGGAGCCAAAGCAAGGACTTCAAAGACTGATAAGGAAAACATCTTGCTATGAGGAAGGTTAACGAGATCAGAAGAATACCACAAGTATAAAGTCAGCAAGAGCCAGCAGTAACTACGGGAAAGGTAAAGGCGGCAGGGGGAGACCACGACCACCGATTCAATTCAGGACCAAAGAGACTTACCCCCTGCAAACCTGCATGGAGCACGCGCGCTAATTTAAATATGTTTAACCAACAGTAGATGATACATTAAGCACTAACCAATGAGTGTAATTTTGGGTGGGTTTATACTAACCATGTAATAGGATAAATATGATATGATTTTCTGGTAAAGGCGAGCTAGCTTTGTGGAATACCACCTAGCTCCCAACTTTGCACAAACTTGTAATAAAGAAGTACCTTGACTCTGTATGTATTGGCTTGCATTCTGGGTAAAGATCTCACTTTTTGGACAACATCATTACCTTCTGCGTATTGCTCACCACTGCAGTAGGTGATAGGCTCACGGTATGGCTTGTGGCTAGTAGGAGATCTCAAGAGGACTATAACTTGTGAACATGCAGAACTCTAATATGTCATACAAGCTACACATTCTTACAACCTAGTACCACACACCAAGAAACTTGCATGTCTAACTCAAATTTCAGGAAACAACCTATTTCAATTGAAACCACAAGCCCTGTCTCCTGAAATCTGTGGGATGCACCCTGAGATCACAGACAGTGTGAGGCTATTTCATTTCGAATGAGAAATAGCTTCACCTTGTCTCTTTTACAAGCCAGCAGAAAATTACTCAAGTTGAACAGTTAGTTTTCTGTGCTGAAGTTTTCCACCCTGGTTGCCCTCTCTGGAAGAGTGGCCGAGAATCATTTTGAAAGATGTCTCACATGAAGTCTCTTGAGTAAAATCTTGCTGCATTCAGTCTTAGCGATGCACTTGGCTTGCAACAAATCATAATAATGCTGAGAGATCAGTGTGTTTTTTAACAAATTGGCACAAATTCTATTCACTGGAGGTCATGTGCAGGAAATATATGTGCCCACAGGGCAATCAGGAGCCATTATCTTTAACCTTAACCCCCTGAAAGGGCAGAATGTCCAGACTATGCTGGAACTAACCAGCCCTTTATGTAGTGCTGTAAGCTCACATATTGCTTTACAGGCACGTTCCAAATGCTTGAAGGGCTTACTGAATTCTAAAAGCTGCAACACGTGTACAAGGCTAGGTAAGACACAACAATGTAATTTGATAGGAATGCACAGAAATAACAAGTAGAATAAAGTAGGAGTGATTGCTAACAGACAACTGGGCTCAGGAAGGTGTTTAAAAGGAAAGATGGGAGAATGTTCTGATGTATTCAAGGTAAAAAAGGTCTTGAGAAAGAAGACGAGATGACAAGAGCTACAAAAGAGCTGCGAAGGAGAGGAGAAACAGCTATGTACAATTATCTAGGGCCCTTGAACAGAAAAACCAGGGATTTGCATCCTGTTGCTTCCAGTAGAAACCTCTCCTCTACTTTAGGATGAGCATCAAGTAAGATTCCTGTTCTGGAGACTGTTCTCATTCATGGAAAATCCTTCAGCAACTTTTGCTTTGCCTTGACTATGGTGATGCTATTTATAAATAAAGATTTTTAAATTAGCTTTTAAAATTCTGCATTGCTTAATGACACATTTTGACTGGAATCAGATATACTAAAGGATGCTCTGAAAGGACAGCATGAGGTTGAAAGACTCTTAGAATTTAATCAATTAAAACCAGCAATCAAAAACCTCCACGAGTGGTCTGGTTGCCAGCCAGGCTGTCTGCTGCACACTCCGCTCTCAGACTGCCGTGTAAAGATGGGGGCTCGGTACAATCACACAGGATGACTCAACAGCAGTTCTGGACTGAAGGGAACTCAGACACTGAGCTACCAGGTGAGCCTCCAGGGAACTAACGTCATTGACAACAGCACTGGGAGCAGAAGGTGGAGGGAGTCAACACTCAGAGACCAGCTAAAAGGAGTTGCAAGAGAGGCAGGCACACTGACATCTGTCAACTGATTTAATGAAACAAAAGTCACTGTGCAGTTTTCTGCATTATTCTCTCTACTGTTTGCCTGGCAGCAGCTGCTTCATCATTCACTGGATGTAAAAATAACACTGATTCTTGGGTTAATCCAAACAAAACTGCTTGTGACTGGCTTTTGGGTGAGGGTCCCTTTGGATTCTTGAAAGGATACTTATCCTGCAGGTTTCACTTGAACACCACTTTATTTTTTTTTTACCCCAGGTGAGATTTCTCAGCCTCACCACTTCCTCTAGAGGTCAGAGGACTGCATTATCCCTAAGTCACTGTGAGCTGCTGCCTAATTATTGACACAGTAGGAACAAGAGACCATCATATGACTCAAATTCTGAGGAGACAGTGCACACAATGCCTCAAAATGCTCTAGTATAGTTATAGGAGAGACTTGATTTTTTTATGGGAGCAGTACTTTCAAACTGCTGGTTTATTATCAAATGTATGCTAATATTTTTATATTTAGTAGGGAAATCCATAATTAAGTAAGGCTGGAGATAGCTTATTCCTTCAAAAACAGGAGGAAATTAATACATAATACAGGGCTATACTGATCTGGGGCACAGGAGAAGTCTGTAAGGTATGTATGACAGTGCATTGTTCCCAATCACACAGTCAGCAGTAAGAACACCAGTCAGCAGGGCTAATGGTGGACTCACTGTCCCCTTCACCTCTCCCATAAATCCACATCTGTCACTCCTACATCCAGGTGTATGTAATGCAACCACAGTTAGCCATCTAACTGAATTAAAGATTAAATACTGACCACCCTTGGAAGATGCAATTAACAATCACAAGTTTATCTGTTGCAGAGAGAAAAAATAAAGAGATCAATGACCTGTCTTAAAATGAAGGCCACAACATCTGTTGATTCCCAGTAGCTAGCATGGAAGAGATGCGGCAGGGCCACAGTTGGAAAGGCTGTCAGCACATCTGGACAATACAAGGCATAATCTATTCGTTTTGTTCCCCACCACTTTGCAGTAACTACAAAAAAAATCACAAACAAAATAGCATCATATTTCTATTAGATATCTTCTTAACAAATATCTTGCTGTCTTTATGTTTAAGCTAGATAACTCAGTGAAGTCTGCGCTTTTAATCTTGACATTTAAAGTCTGTTAAAAGGTATCTATCAAACATGAAAATAGTGTTTTCACTGACTGCATCATCACTTAAATGTCTGCAATCTAGACAGTTCTACTGGGTCCAAGTTTTGGGGAAGGAGAAATTACCTCAGCGTGATTCCCACTGCTTCCTGGTCCATGGAAAATGTACAGTGAAAGACTAGTGCTTTTATGATCATGTTATAGAGTAAGAATTGCACATGCTTCCCAAATAGTGAACGGAATATTGATATATGACTATAGTCCATAACAGGACTATATAATAATTCATAGCACTTTTAAATATGGGTAACAAATCTCATCTATACAGATTTACTCATGCCTAGAACATGCTTCTAAAGCCCTGTTAGTATGAAATCTTTAACAACTGTTTATGAGTAGCATCCTAATATAAAACTGTTACTTCACTTACATTTCTTTATCTGCTTAGTTACAAACAGGAAAGGAAGCTAAACTGTTATTTAAAATTGCATCAAGCTGTTCTCATTCTCTGCAAATTTCCAAGCAGGTAATTTTCCTGTTCATAACAAACTTTTCTACAGAAAGGATGTGGAGGGAAGGGTTGTTGTTGTATCAGACAGCATATGGCACCAGGCTTCACTCACTGTTGGTGAGGCATACTGATGGCAAGCTTTCTGTTGACCCTGAGTTTTCACTGTTTGTGCTGGCCAAGCTCAACTTTCTTGTTTTTTCTTGTGGTTGATCAGATGCGTTTGGAGATCTGGGACTCTCCTGAGAGAAGGGTATTTTCGAAGAGCTGTTCTCAAGGAACAGAGCACTGTCCTTGTGGATAGCATCACCTGCAGGTTACAGAAATGAAAACCATAAAAAAAATCCACAATGGGATAAACAACATGGTTTTGAGAATTGCATGTGTGTGTGTATTTTTTAATTTATATTTTAATACAGAGCTAATGAGCATTTTGCTGAATAATATCAGATTTAATGACCATGGATTAAACTCCTTCAGGGCGAGGAGGACAGTATAAGACAGCATGACTAAATGGAGAAAGCACACCCTACTGCCATCAAAATGCAATGGCAGCTGGCTGCTTTTGACCAAGATCTTACAAACTGGGTAGCGATGTTCAGAGACTATTTTAGTTCACAGTCAACCCTGTGAACCAATTTTATAGTCATTCTCTGAGAAGAGCTACATAGCCCCGGGAATCTGTGATACTTCTATTGTCCTCTTCCTGACATTAGCAAAACTGCTTTAGAAAGAGGACCTTCAGCAACACTATCTACTGGTTTGCATGTTCCAAAATGGAACAGAATTCTCATTTATTCATGCCACTCTGACAAAGCTATGGGCCATGGCTAAGACCGCTACTTAACGAAACAAAACACAGCCTTCTTCCTGAGGTGTTCTGAAACATGCAAGGACAGATGCGCATTTACATAAAAGCATTACTGACAATTTTGCTTGAAGCAGCCTGCATATCCCTCCCGTACCTAAGAAAGGCAGAACCTACACTGAGAGATAAGATATACAGCAAAGCACACATCAAAAGCATCTGACTCCTCAGCATTGTTTTTCAGAGAACAAACCTCTTGGAGATTAAAACAGTGAACAAAAGAGAAAGGAGATCCAGTTTGGTGCATGTAATACAAAAGAAAGCAGGCAGCCCTTGATGATGTATCACTCTGTTTCTGAGCATGTTTCAGTCCCATTCAGACAAGTAACTGTAATCATGCTGTGCTCATCTTTCACATGGTCTTGGGTTGGGGACTATGTCATACGACTATGTAGTGGAGGCCTGGAATAAGTTTCTCTTCAACTTTTCAAGTCTTACCAACTCTCAATGCAATGAATACTCTGATGGCACACACAGAACACCATGACAGCAAGTTGCTGCTTTCAAGGACATCATTCCTTAAAAAAAATACACTGGAAGCATAAGCGTCTATAGATTATCAGAACTGATAAAACATGTCAGCATTAAATGAAAAGGAATAGCAGGATAGCTCCCTACAGTTTCCTCCCTTCCAAAAAGCAGACATTGCTAGAAAGATTCTGGCTTCTTTTGACATAAGCCTGAATATTGCAACTTTCAACAAGAAACTGCCCTGCAACTGAATCCGAGAAACAATAAAATCCTAATACTTTGTGATGGGTATGTAGTTTGGACAGAACGTATTAAATTTTAATTTCCATGGGAATATATGCTTTGAGTTTTCATTAAAAAACTGCAATGTACTGTTCTTTCAAAGGAATCTTGTTGACATCATACAGTAGGGAATCACAGAATGGTTTGGGTTGAAAAGGACCTTAACGATAATCCAGTTCCAACCCCTCTGGCATAGGCAGGGACACCTTCCACTAGGGAAAGCTATGTGTGGCTACATGAAAGCTTGATGGAGGTGAAAAAGAATGGAAGGATAATTTTATTACTTCCCTTGTCTCAGGCAAACTATACAGACTTCAACACAGACAACTGAAAAGAAAACACAATGCTGCTTTCCTATTACTTACCTAACAAGATGAGGAGGTATTATATGCTTTTTGTAATGAAAAAAGTAGCACAAAGAAGTAAAAGGTCTGATTCTATGTCACACTAAACACTGAACAGCAAGACACTTTGTCCTTCTGACAACAAACCCCAAATCATGTGGCCTAAAATATCACAGCAAATGAGTTCACTGAAGAGAGCAGCAGAATGCACGGACACAAGCAGCAAGGAACAGGGAAGGTGCCAAATTGAAGCCCGTTAGAGGATCTGAACCAGAACCCTGATCCAAACATGAAATTCCACAGAAGAAGGTGCAATGAATCCCATAAATGACAGTTATATCTCATGAAGTGCTCATGATTGGCAGTGTTCTGATGCATACTTTCTCCTTCCCCTTCCAAAAGATTCACTGAAATAAAAAAAAGTTTTGCTTTTAAAATAAATTTTCTGCTTCTCAACTGTTGTTGCTCTGCCGAAACAGTTCTAAATTGACCCTGATCTAACCCTTCCTCCTCCACTATAATTTTGCACAAGTTCTGGTTTTTTCATCCCACTACAATGGAGATGGAGAGAGAAGTAAAAATAGTAACTTTGCACAGAATGGAAAACATGTCAGTCAACATATCTGTTAGCCCTTCCATATTATTGATTATCTTAAGATCAGCTTGGTAAGGGGTCTTGAAACATGTTGTTTAGTTTGTAATACTGTTATACTAAGCTCAGTAACCTTTCTCCCTAGAAGAGATTAAATCAATAAAATGGAAGGCATTTTTGGCAGTTTTTTCTCTCTTGTCTCCTGAGTTATCTTTATTTTAAACAGGTAGAGCAGCCTGCCTTCATCTCTATAGGTCAGGCCCTTGTTGAATTGTAAAGGAGGTCAAAGAGTACCAAGTAGAGTTTAATAAAATACATGTAACACTATTTTTTCCTAAAAGCCATGTGCTCAACTTTTGATTAGGACAGTTTACTTGCGTAATTCTTCCACTTAAATATCTGAAATAGATACTTCTGACTCCAAACAACCTTCCTCATGGCTCTGAGGGTCACTAAAGGTTCTTATCCTTTATTTTACTAATCTAAATTTACTATTATGCTCGATAAGAAATAAAATAAAGGCAGATAATTTTACAGAGTCTCTTCTTGGATATGATATGTTACAGCCAAAACGAAGAGGCAAAGCAACTTCCTCAAGGCCACGCAGTAACCATCTCCAGACAAAATTAACAATACTTTATTTTATGCATATACAATCGGAGAAGTACTGTACTTTTAGACTTTAATTTCTATCTATCCACAATGGAGCAGACCAGTTAGATCAGCCACAGTGTGGA